CCTCCCCAGGGGTTACTATCGCCGCGCGGCCAGCCCCAGGGGGGGTGGGGGGGCTCGGTGCGGAGCAGGGGAGCTTGTGCCCCTCGGGGAGGGGGGCGCGGGGGTCCCTCCGTGGGGTCTTGGCCTGGGAAACTCTCCGAAGGACCCGTCATCCTTTTTCTTTCCCCTAGCTCGGCGGCGTGCTGCTCCGTGATGGACACCCAAACTCTTCCGTAGGGTGAAGATAAGGGGCTGGGCAGGGTGGGGGCTGTCAGGGTGATGTTCTCCCCACTCCCCTGCTTTAACCCTCGGATATTTTGGGTGAGCGCAGAGGTGGGGGAGTTGGGAAGGGATGAGTGACTACCCTGATACCCCCAGGGCTTCTCACGGGGTGGTTTATGTCCACCCCGCCGTGGGAAGGATGCAGTTGGTGGGTGGCCACAAGTCCTTGTTGCCACAGCGGTAGAGAACACTGACGTGTGTGTGTGTGTGTGTGTGAGCTGACGGGGACAGTCCCAGTGGTGTGTTGCGGCAAGTTGGGCGCTTTTCCCTTGATGTGTAGCTGTAGGGTTGCGCCACCGCTGGTCCCATTCTCGGCGGAGGTTTGCGTTTGGGGTTACTCGGGGTGCAGTCCTACGCTCGGCCTCTCCGCCCCGGGTTGTTGTCACCGCGTTTTCCTGCCGCAGGACGGGAGATGGAGCGGCCTGGCTGGTGTTACTGGGCAAGGTGGTGTTGGAGCAGAGCTGTTTGCTGCTCCGCGGTGTGCCAGGCGCACGGGACATCAACTCAGGTCTTCAGCTGGACGAGGTGGGGATCCAGGCTGGGTCGGAGAGGGGGTGGTGTGTGCGCAGGGGGACCTGCCCTGCTCGCTGCGGTGCCTTTGCCGTGAACCGGCACTCGCTGCTCACGGCTTCGGGCTGGTTTGGCAGTGAGCTCACCCACCGGTGTGACGCAGGCCTGGGGCAGGAGGGGCTGGGACTTCAGAGCAGGACGCTTACTGGGTGGTTGCAGGCACGCCAGAGCTTGCTTTGCCTGTGAGTAACACACTGACTGCCGCGCTGTGCTGCCGGGTTGGCTACCCTGGAGGTTTCACCATCCTTATGGCAGGTCTTGTGTAATTATAGACCTTGCAGCACCTTCCAGTGCCTAAAGGGGCTCCAGGAGAGCTGGGGAGGGACTCTGGGTCAGGGAGGGGAGCTGTGGGACGAGGGGGGACGCTTTGACACTGACAGAGGGGAGATTGAGATGAGATGTGAGGA